CGGCTCCCTGTCTCTCCCCTCCGGCTCTTGCTAAGCACTAAGTCATTCTCACTGACCCATCCTCTCCAGCTGAAGACAGAGATTGGAGATTCCCAGATACCCCCATGCATTGTGGTGTGAACATGCCCAGTGGGTCAGTCTCAGGTATGAGCTATAAATACGTCTAACCTGTAAAAAGCGTTGGGGCTGAACGGTCAGTGTTGACAAAAACAAAAAACAAATGGGTTATTAAAAGTACATAACATGGTTTTCTGGAGGAGTTATAACTGGCTGGGAGTGAGACTTGATTTTCATCTTGGGCATGTCAACATGAACTCCTGCACGTTCCAAATCAAAATTGTGAGATCAAGGAGTGGGGATGGGGGGGGGAATACAGACTTTTTCTTATGATGATGCTTTTTGCATAAATCAGTATTTTGTTTTCTTATGGACTACTGTATTTTGTTCTTACTACTTCTGTTGAAAAGAAAGAGGATGTTTCCCCCTTTTATACAGATGTGGAAAAAACAGAACCTGGAACTGCTTGTGGTTGTTTTTTTTTTTTAAGTTTAATAGTTTGGGAAGGAATACAGAAGCATATAAAGTAAATGTGTTAGTACAAAAGCTAACTCTTGTTTTTACACTACTACGTACATATAACAAAAAGAAATGCACGTATTTTTGTAAGATGATTAAGGCTGTGAGTTTAATAAGACTCAAGAAATGATTTGTCATCTCTTGCCAGTATGCAGGCAAGTACTAAAAGGCTCTTAATATAAAAGCTTTACCATAAACTGTACCCAAGCTTCATTTACAGATGTTATAAAATAAGTATTTGCTGTCGGATCTCTTGATACTCTTGCTGGCCGTTATACAGAAATGACACATTGGATTACAGATGCATCTTTGATTGCAGTATGATCTTTTTTTTTTTATGATACATTCCTTGAGTCTTAGCTTTTTTGCCGATGATATTATTTTGTGTTTGTCTTTCTTGATAGTAAAATAACTAAATTAAAGCTATGGTCCTGTTTTTTAATCTTCTGTATTGATTCTTAATTAGATGTCCTTTAGATTTTTTGGTAGAAAAGGTTTTTCTTAAGTGGAAGTTTAAGTATCTTGTTAGAATATTCACTGTGGCCATTAACTAGAACCTGCTTTACTGAGATCTGACAACAGTCGTATTAAAGTGAATTCAGGCTCATCCTATGGGCAGTAGCCAATCAAATATATGTTGTACAGTTAGATTGTTCCTTTCATGTACCTCTGTAATAATAATTTTCACTGTGATAATTAAGCTATTATTCATAATCATTAAACAAGTTTAATTATGATGTGTGTAGCTTGAAACATTTAACATTAACGTTTATGCATTGTATGTACATTAGTAAGGCGTTCATGAAGGTGGTCTAAAGGCTATTTTGTAGGGGTCCAGTAGATGGCAATATAGGATGGATGTTGAGAGTTTTCATCTCTGCCTGGTTTTCATTTCAGTTCTTGGCAAGGTTGTTTCTGTGGGAAACTTTTAGCCAGTGTGAAGCACTTTTCATTGGATGGCTGATGACCACTGTTACTCTGCCATTGTCCCGTGCTGATGACTTGGTTTGAGATGGAGATGACATGGCCTGTAGAATAAACTGTGTTAATATTATTAAGTATTCATGTAACTATTTTGATTACTGTAACTATTGCCTTTTTAATCTGGAAGTGGAAATGGCTTTTGCTGCTATTCTAAAATTCATCTACATTGTTGGATTAGTTCTTTGTTTTGCATAGGACTCAACGATGTGATAAAACTTCTGTATCTATTGATGAGGTTGTGATCTTAATGCAGCATGGTGTTATGAAAAATGTAATGTGCCTGGAAAAAGATGTTGCTCTTTATTGCACAATGGATCCTTAAGCTTGTTGTAGTCATTGTGGATTATGAATTTAAAATATAGGGAAATGTAGCTTGTTTCAAGATGGCACTTCTGGGTTTTTTTTATTGCTTAAACATTATTTTTATTTTACTGAAGTTTTTTTTTTCTCATTTATTATTTATTGCTGCAAGATCTTTTTCCTTTCTCATCTTCCTAGCCTTTTCATATGCTTCACATGTAGAACACTATTGAAAATTATTTTGTTTCTTTGTGCTGTGAATACGATTTCAATGTTCTCTAACCTTAAGCTTTTTTTTAATGGAGTCCTTTGTACCACGGGATTCTGAGTCTTACCTACTATATGTTTAACTTGCTAGTTCTTTTCCTAAGGAAAATTTGTTTTTTCTTTGCTGGCTATTGAAATTTATTTTGGAGCTATTTTAAACGATCTCTCCACCAGATACGGCTTTTTTTAATCTGATGGAATACATATACATTAACATTTTAATTTGTAAATTGAACTTATCTTTTAATGTCCTATTCTTTTTTATTTTAGAAGTAATACATTTTTTCCCCCCTTTGACATAACTCTTCTCCCCTCTTCCCTACCCTAGTAGACTTTAAGTATGATCTAGAAATGAAAAGTGAGATCATTCTTTGCGATTCTATTTCTGTACTTTAGTTCAACAGCCCATTCATCCGCACCGTATTTATGCAAGAGGCTGCAGATACCAAACCCAAGTTATTCCTTCAACAAACTCATTGTTTCAGATACTTTGTCAGTGCCTTCATCTGCTCAGAGATTTACTCTTTCATTTTTAAACACTAGGAGCAAATATGAACCGCTTCTTATTTTTTTCCTTCTCTTTTTCACTCTGTAGTATTCATAGATAGATATAATATTTCTTCAAAGGTTTCTTTGATAAAGCTACTATTTAAACTTAAATGAAGTACTACACTTTTGAATTGTCAGTTTGAGACACTGCAATACAATTCCTGGTGGCTTTTTCTAGAGCTTAAGCACGTGTTCTCTTAGCACGTGAAACAACTTCACATTTAGTCTGAATAGTTTGCACAGACAGGCAACTTCTGTGTATCTCCACTGATGGTGACAGCCAGAGCTAACATAACAGTGAATGGGGAGCAGGCTACAGACAGAGGAAATTGTTCTGTGCAAATACAGCTTTTTCTTTTAATGTTTCATGTTCATCTATCTTGCTTTAGTTTGTAGAAGAAGAATCAAAAGTGTGAAAGAGACCAGTGCGAATGGATTTTTATGTCTGTGGTTGTGAGGTTTGTCAACTAATAAGTTGTTTGCCTTCAGACTGTAGCAATTAAAGCTATGCAAGTGATTCTTATTCAGCTACTACATGCAAAAATTTAATAATAAAGCCTATCTGGAGAACAAACTTTAGTGCCTGAAGAAATTCTGCATTTGAATTAAGTGCAAGTATTTTTGTCCAGCTCTGGGCATGATGTGTAAAATCTATAACCCTTCAGCAAAGGCTGCAGCTCACAAAATGACTGAACCAGGAGGCCAGTGGTTGGAATGCTGAGTTAACTGCTCAGCAATCTGGAACAGTTAATGAAATAGTTGGAAGGAGATCATAGGATTGCTTTCATTAGGTCAGGTCAAAGATGTGTCTCTTCTGCCTCACCAATATCCTGTATGTCACTGTCTGTTTGGGGATGTGGAAGGCATAGTACAAGTACTCCTTTGGTATGTTTATGTGTCTTTGCTGGTTTGCAGCTTGGGGACTTTCTGAACCAGAGACATAGTTTTTGTGTTAGACATCCTTTGAATTTCTTGTCAGTGGATTTATCCAATGTCTTTTTTGAATCCGTGTAAATTTTTAGTAACCTGTTGTGACAGAGCAGTTCCAGGGCTTAAGCATCTGTTTTGTGAAAAAGAATCCAAGTAATTTTTAGCTTGTTATTTTCAAGTTTCATTTGCTACCTACAGTTTCTTGTAGTAGAAAATCATAGAAATTATCATCCCTCTTCTCTTCTTTGTACCTTTTGTATCCCGTTAAAACTTTTCAAACGTGAGTGTATTATAATGTAGGTAAATGCAGTGCAGTGAGTCTGGAAAGGATGAGTAAGTTGTTCGCTGTAGGGAGGAGGTGGTGATATCCTAAAGGCAGTGGTGTGAGGATTTAGGGACTGGCATAGCTCTACAAGAATGCTGATGTTAGGTAATGTGAACTGTGGATGAGTAAGGAGAGTGTTGAGCAAAAGTGGATGTCAGAAGTTATCCTGTGATTGTAAGAACGTTTTAGTATTTGTTTTCATGCTAAAGATTTTAGACAAAAAATTTATTTCAACACTATGCTTCAAACCATTTTTTGGAAGAGTTCTTTTGCATCTGAATGTTTTTGTGTTTTTTCCCACTACTGAACTTCTGGCATATAGACAACACTGATCACTACTCACTATGCTGTAATAAAATTGGATTGCAGTGGTAGGGATCTTGACGGTATGTTGTGTGCTTTCTTGTTGAATGATTTGATTCACCTCTTCAACTCTTAATCTAATTACTTGTGTGCCATCTCAGGGTCTGTAGATAATAGGGAGCAAGTGAAACTAAGATAAATTGTTGGGTACTCTCAGGTCAGATATTAAATTTTCAGAATGTCAGTGTCTTTTGATTAGCTATGCTGTATTTTAAAAAAAACAACAAACCCCCCCCCCAAAAAAAAAAAAAAATTGGCTCTGAAATTGACCATGGGATCATCTAACCTTAATTTCTGTGAAGCTGAATTTATTTTATTGACTACCTTCCTCTTACTGGCCTACATACTTATGTAGACAGTCTTGAGGATATTCCACTGGATTAGGTGGTAGATCATTCAGTCACATCAGAGAGGAATATTGCATATTTCTGTCACAAGGCTCAACCATTTATTTAAAGAGTAACTTGTTGCAGTTTAAGTTGCTGCTGTGTGGTGCTACACAATGAGTATTTTGGAAAGGTTTTTTGTGCTTTGCTGCAGAATCTTTATTGTATGTTTGGAATATGGAAAGGTGCAGTGTGACTTCCATGTTAAAAGCTTTTTTGTTTCAGAAATATAATTTTTAATTTTTTGGAAACTACCTATGATCATTAGAAAAAAAATCAGCAGGAGATCTTAATTTATTGGAGTCTCTTTGCAGGCGTGCTAAGAACATCTTTGTAAAAGTGATACAGTCAGCTCAATACCATTTGCAGAATTCTTCTTGACAGATGTAAGAAAGTAAATTACAATGGCTGTGTTGTGCTAACAAGAAGCAGGTACAAACAGGAAATAGTGTATATATACTTACTTTTATTGCTACAGTTACTTTCATGAACGGATACGCACAGAAAATTACTATGTTTCTTTAAACAGGAAAATTTCTTCTGACTTCCAAGTGAGCTTACTGTCCTGTTATCTTTTGGAAAAGTCAATAGCTTAAACTTGAAGATTTTGAAATGTGTAAGATGCTCTCTCTTGTTAGAGTGGACAGGTCTTTGTGTGGTTATATTTTTATTCTCACTGTGTTTTCCTTCTTTGTCTTACCTTTTCTGTGAGGCTTAACTTGCTAGGCTTTCTTTGTGTTATCCAAAAGTTAGTGTTGTTGGTACTGGAAAGCAGTTTGGGTCACTGAAATGTCAGTGAAGTGCAAATTGTGTATGCTACAGGAAGACAGTGGATCATACCTGTTACCAGATCTACAGCACTGTTTTAGTTCTTTAAATTTGAGTGGTTATTTAACCAGAACTTTTACATAGGACTTCCAGTGTTGAGGAGGAATTTGATTCTTTTGCTAGACTTCATTACAAGATATAAAGATGTCATGAGGTGACATCAGTTCAGCTGTGAAACACCAACATCTTAGTGCAGTTAGTGAACTGCAACTCAGTGCTAATTTGGGTGGATTTTTGTTTGTGCTGGATATACAGTCTGCACTGCAGCATGACAGCTTGTAGCCTTGACCCAGAGTCTCTGTCAATGTGAGTGAAGGTTTCTTGTGGCATTGGACAGAAAAGGCAGGTGTCTGTGAGCTATGTGTGTTATTAAAGGGTGGGAAGTATTGTTAATTCTCCACTAACTTCTGACATGTTCTACATCAGACCTTCTCCATTTAATTCTCTTAATTTAATTTGCGTCCGAATTCCAGCTGATGAAACAATAATCCCGAGGTATCCACTACTGGGAAAAAATACGAACTTGATTGCAGTTAAGAGGTACTCAGATGATGACAAAGACACACGGCTTCCCTAAGCACAGTGTCAAAATTGGTTTGCAACTGACAGTTTTGTATTTTGTTTGTAAGCACTGTGGCAAAGAGTAAACTTTTTAAGAATTTAAGCTAGATTACTTCATAAGACTTCTTGCTTTCTTTATAAACATTTTTCTGCTCTTTTTTTAGACATGGACCGTGATTATGGGCATGGAGGCTATGGTGGCCCACGATCCATGGACTCTTACCTTAACCAATCCTATGGGATGGAGAGTCATGGAGGTGGAGGCGGAGGAGGTGGTGGTGGTGGTAACAGGTAAAATAATCCTTCAGTTGTCCCAAGAATTGATCAAACCCAATTTAAGTTTAAATCATTCTGTCTTCTAACTTAAGTGTTCCTGAGGCATGTTGTTACGATTTTGTATGAACACTTTCGTTCCGAGTCTTCGTGTTCGATAAATACTGGCAAATACTAAACTGTAAGAGCTAGATTCTTGTAATAATCAGCATTTTTGTGGAACAGTTTGACAGTGAAACAACGCGTCTTTGAATGAAAATGGAAAAAGTTATTTCTCGGTAATGGCTAGCAATTTGTAGCTGATTGGCCTGATACACCATTTCTGACATAGCAGACTAGACCTAACTGGTTTAGTGCCTTAGACTGAATCTATCAACATTCCGTTTTCAAGGAACATTTAGGGTATGTGTTCTTTGGTTTGAATGTGCAGTGCTCAAATGATCTTGGTGTTGAATCTGAAAGTCATGTCCAGATTATTTCATTGGCAGGTACTGATTACACTCAAAACTGTGTGCATGTTCTGGGCTGCTTTGTAGGATGGATTGGTCTAAAAATAAAAATTCTGATGCAGTGGTCTTAAAGTTGTGTATTTAATGTTAGGATACTATCACTGTTGCTCTTTCAGATAAAAACAGTAGGGAGCAGCTGATTTGATTTAGGTCTTAATATAGTAATTAAAGAAGTATGCTTTTCAGAGTAGTGATTCTATCTTGGAGGAAATAAAATGTGAAGAAAACTTAGATAATCTGATGGTTTTCTTGTGTGCGCCCTTGAATTCTTGTCTGGCTGTAGCCAGACTACTGTATGATTCTTGTCTGTAGTCACTGTGGTGCCACTGGGCAAGGACAGTACTAAGTAGGGAGGCTGGAGAAGTGTTGTATTTTGCTGCACGGTTCTGTTAAACATTTTAGTTAAGTATAATTTGTTTAATGATGACCATTAAGATTGACTTAAAAGTCTGAGCAGAGATTCAGGAATGAGCTGTACCTACCATATAGTAATCTGCATATGATTAAGGTTGAATGACTACTTGAACACTGAAATGTCTCTTGCCATGTAACGTTAATATTGTGCATGGGCTCTTTCTGTAGATAGTGTCATTTTCTGTGTAGCTTTGGGTCTTCTGAGACTAATGTATTTTAAAATGAAGGCATTCAGTTTACTATAGATATGGTTAGTAATTTCAGTCTGTTCTAGTTTATATTTTATCAGTCAAGGGGCTGTC